GAGATCAGGAGCAGAGGTGAGGGAAGTACAGAGCGAAAGGAAAAGTCACAGCCATCAGGAAGAGACCACGAAAGGTGGCTGCTGAGCGTCGCCGGCCAGGCCGCCGGGGGCAGACGCGGCCCACGCGCCGGCCGCCAGGACGCGGATGTGCTCATCCTCCGGGGCCCGGTGAGCTCCCAGAGGCCCCCTGGCATCTGGCACGCCCCACAGTGTTTGGCCTCCGGGGAGACGGACCATGCCAGCAACACTGGCCTTCTCTGCCAGTTCCTACTATTTCACAGAAAAGAAACAGGACCAGGGATTAAGTGGACACCACATCATGGAACCCACAAATTGTTTTTCACAGAGGTTACTTGTACCTTTACAAAAACAGGACAGAGAAGGGAAGATTTGTTTCTGGGCTGAATGTTCAGACACGTAAATTCACTAAGCAAGTGTTATGCCCTTGAAAACCAACTCTATTATTTTTTTTTTAAGTGGGTCGTAGGGCCAAAATCCAGCTCTCAAGAAAAACAGGCGTTTAACAGCCCATGTAAGTACAATTTTCAATTCTCTCTATTCTGAGTTTACAAATCATCTTCAGTGACTGTGATCACAATATTTCTGTTAAAAACTGACACAGTATAATTTTTGTGAACATTTATAAACATTTTCAGAACTTTTTTCCGATCACCAATGTTTAACTGCTCACCATTTCAAACTTAAAAGAAAAAGGGGTCTTCAGAGAGATGACATCGCAGGGGAAGTGAGCAAGTAGCTTCTAAGGGCTTATGACGCCACGTACCTTGCCTTAAGGCCTTGGCTTACGTGGGTCACGAGTTGGGAAATCTCTTCATCTGTAGTTATTGATTGCTTTCCTCCTGCATGTCGTTTTATTTAAACATCACAGCGTCCTGTGACATCGTTATCATATATACTCAGTAACAAATGAGGGATCTAAAGTCGACGCTTAGTAACTTACTTCAAACTGGGGACACGCTCTGCCCATGTATTTTCCTTTACTTCTTTTAAAATTTAAGAATAATTTTGGGATCTAGAAAGCATACAGTTTGAATAATCCATTTATTCATTTAACGTGTATTTTTGTCTTCCAGGCACTGAGTCTGATCAGGGAATGAACAAGGACCCGCAGCTGGTGGGGATACACAATGAGCAACAAGTGTAACTGAGTAACTCGTATGCCAAAATGATAGCTCCCATGGAGAAAAGTCACACTGAGTGTAAAAGGGGTCGGAATGAGAGCGGCCAGCGTAGAGACGAGGCTGCAGTCACAGGAGGCGCCACTGAGAAGGTGACACTTGAGCAAGCACTTGGAGGCGAAGGAGTTACCCGTCCAGATGCGGGCGGGCCAGGCAGTGCCAGCTACCGCAGGTCAGGCCCGCAGCGTGAGGGGCAGCGAGGAGGCCAGGGTGCGTGCAGTGAGGGCTTGAAGGGGCAGCAGCATGTAGGTCAGGGAGAAAACGACGAGGGAGATTTAAAAGCTATTGTAAATTCTTCTGGCTCCCGCTGAGGACATGAAAAGCCACTGCAGGCTTTCGAGCAGAACAGTGGCATGATCTGATGTTTCCCAGGGTCACTGGCTGCCAAGACTACACCGGGCCAAAGGCAGACGCACAGACACCAGCTAGAGGCCTGCTCAGTGTCACACGCAAGACAGAGGTGACTCAGACCCCAGTGGCGGCACCAGGGGCAGTGAGGAGCTGTCTGCTTCTGGGCGTACTTTGGAGGCGGAGCGCACAGGGTTTCCTGCAAGACTAGGTGTGCAGTGTGAGGAAGGAGAGGGCCCCGGGATGGCACCGAGGCTGACGTCCTCGGACGGTGGGGACAGCTGTGGGAGGGGTCTCACGGGGGAAGGCTGGGAGTTCAGTTTTGAGCACGTTGAGTTTGAGCGGACTATCAGACGTCCCTGCAGAGATCACGAGCGCTTGGCCAGCACGTACTATGCGACAGGTGCATCACCTAACCTTTCTCCCCTCGCTAATGCTAACGCCACAGAATGGGAAGCTGAAAAGTACCGACGCATATGGAATGCCGGAAGGGTGTTAAGTCAGAGTAATTCCAATAAAGCGTTACTCTCAATTCTGAAAGGTATGAGAACTAAAAAAAAAAAGGGATGTAGCTGTGCACACGTGACAGGAACATGAACCCGTCACGTGTCAGAGGGGCACACCTGCAGACTCTGCACAGGACCAGCTTAGCTCGGGGGACTACATAGGGGACGTCGGTGGTGACGACAACGATGCTAATGATTTTAAAGATGGTGTCGGGCGTTTGACCCCTTGTACGGATATCTGAACAGAGAAGCATCAAAACTTTGCAAAAGGATAATCAACGTTTTAAATAGTCTGACTTATTTTTTTGTGTAGATGTGTAATTTGCTTTCAAATTTCGAAGAGTACGTAGAGTGACATGAGGTGTTAATACATACTGAAAGCCTGATCCAAGGAGGTGGTGGGGACAGGCGTCACTGCGGGAGGTCACAGGCATGCAGGAGGGGACGGCTAACATGGTCCACGGGACCCTGGTAGCATGGGGCTGGAAACAGCACGTCCTCACGTTTAGCTTAACATTGGTACAGGTGTGTCCATATCCCCCGGTGGGCAGGTGCCTGTGTTTCTGCTGTCAGGTGAGGGGACCTGGAAGGAAACATCCCTCAGTAGCAGCGAGCACACCTGGCATCCAGATCTGGGCTCCTACCACCTGCTTCCGATAAAAGGAGCCGAGGCTCCCTAGAGAAATGGCCCCTCCAGGCTGGAGTGGGGGACATACAAGATGAGCCCAGAAGAGCCTGGAGGCTGTAAAATAAGGGATGCTCAAAACCCCTACACTGGTGGGGCATGTCAAAGGGACGCAGGAGCCAGCTGAAAAGGAGCCCCACAGCCAAAGCTGAAACAATCTGAACAAACTAAGTAACACAGTACTGGATTATAACCCAAAGTGTAAAACAAATATCCACAAGTAAATACTGATATAAATGACTGAATAGATAAATGGAGGACAAATTTCTCACAGGAAAGAATTCCAAATAATTTACATAGATACTCTGCCCTCAGAGAGACAGAGCATAACCCCGCACCCCCTAAAACGTGAGCTGTGTACAGTGACTTCAGAAGAATCCAGCGTGCGAAGGGTGGGGGTGTATCTTCGCGCCCCCCACCCGCGCCCCCATCTCCTCTCATGCCACTGGCCTCGCAGTCCTCGTCCACTGCTGAATATCAGATGTGAACCTTGTGGCCATTTCCCCATGCTGTGTTCTTGGATTGTTTATTCTTTTACAGTACTTTGATTTTGCAGTTTTGGCTTATGAAAGAGTTTGCTCAACATGAATCCAAAAATGCTTTTGCTTACACCACTTCTGAGAATTAAAAACAGACATGATGTAAGTACTAATGTTGACTACTTCAGGACAAAGTAAAACACACAACTTGTGAAAAGTTAAAAGTAAATTTGATCTTAATCTTGATATATATGTATATGTGTATAGATATAATGTGTATATATATATACACACACATATATATGTTGTGCAAAATTTTATAAGATTAGTTTCTGAAAGAAGCAACAGTTATTAGGCAGTAACATCTGCATTTAATTGTATTTTCTCTCTTAAAAATGATACACATTTCTCTCCAATTATTGCATTTTCTGACAAATTTTATCATATATTGTCAATCTGGATAATGGAGCCCTCAAAAACTACTTGCCTCACTTTGTGTGTAATTCTCATATCTTTGTAAAGGCCAAACAACTAAGAAAATTACTCTATCGGCAAAAAAGTATTTTACTTTTACAGTAATGAAACGTACATCCTCAAAGAATGTAAATTTTTCATATTCACATTTATGGGGGAACACAAGTAACACACTCAAATATCTACTGAGATATTTTTGTTCAGGTTATTACAATCTAAAGCACTTTATAGAAAACAATGTGCAACTTTCTAGCAGATGAAGACCAGGCTGGTTTTTTCGTACCAATGCTTACATTAAGGTTGTTTGGTGATTTAAACTTAAAACTAGTCAGTCTCACTATACGCAATTTTCTTAAAAAATCCACCATGATTTTGTGAACACTTAAGAAATCACAAATCCTAATATTTTTTCTGGACTCCTGTTGCTCATAGCAACAAAATTTACCCTGCTGTGGAATGGAGTAAGGAGCCTGTAGTGTATTAAAGGACTACTCTGCTTCCGCCTCCAAATACAGGCTTTGGCAGTTAAATATAGTTACCCTTTTTACAGAACTTTTGTTATTTTCTAGCTTTGAAAGGAGGGAAAACCCTTAAGAAATTTTTTCAGACAGTGAGAAATCCTTAGCCTGAATGCACTTGTACCACTAATATGTGAGAAAAAAAATGGTACCTAACTTGCTCTTTTTTTCATACCCTTAACTGGTAGTAATCTACCTAACATGATTCTTAGAAACAAAATGTTTTATGTATGCAGAGTATGCTGAAGGAAAACTGGCATGATTCACAAATCTCTGTGGGAATCCCATGCGGGGCAACACGCAGAAGAGCCCAGAGACGCGCCGCACACAGCAGTGGGGAGCGGGGCCAGGCAGAAGGAGAGAGGGGAGAAGGGTGCCTCTGGCAAGCTCAAGTTCATAACCCCAGGTTCTCCAAGTTATAAGGAGCATCTGCATCCCAGAATGATGGCTACTGGTCCTAACACTGGGCTTACACCAAAAGCTGCTACTGTCGACAGCTCAGCACCTCCGGATCTGACTCAGAGGAGCAAGCCGCTCACTGAACCGCAGACAACGCCTCCTTGGTTGTGGGGCCTGGATGGTCACCATCTCACCTGAAGACCGACAGCCCACCCGGACGGATGTGAGGCTGGCGGCAAGGGCCCCAACTACGTCTTGGCTGATGCCACTCCTCAGAGGAAACATAAATCCTGAATTTTCCAGTAGAACAGCTGGAGCTTTGTCTCGACAGAAAAGTTTGTGATAAACGTCTCGGCATTGCTAAATTAATTCCTACTGCATCAACCTGAAGGAAATCTGTACCAGGAAGAATTAACACACATCCATAGAGACAGAGACACATTGAAGACTAAATAAAACGCCATGACCTTCATCTTGCGAAAGGTCCTGCTGAGCTGAGGCAGGAACGAGGGAACGGTTTATTTTGAGCGCCGTATGCCTGTGCAGTACAGAATCGACAGTCTGGGAAGCTTCACGCCTGCTTCCCGAGAGGAGGTCAGAATTCTCTGAGTTTGCCGTCTAGAGAACTCTAAGAATGAGCAGACAGTTTCAGGTCTATTGTCTCAGCCGCGTCTCCTCTCACGGACCCGAGGAGCTTCTGTTCCCATCACTTTCGACAGCTATGGAGCTTTTGTTGTTAGGGATGTACCTGCATTCCAGACTATGTGCCCGAGACTAACAAGCCCTCTGATGACAGGTTACCGGACCTTCTCATCTCAGCAGGTGGAAAATGGGGTGACCATCTCAAAGCGCTCACTGAGCCAGACAACGACCCAGACGAGGCTGGAGGTCATCTGACTGGCGGTGTCTGTAGTTAGTCATGACGGAAGCCGACGTGTGTGGATCTCTCTTCTCCGCCACCTTCCCTGTCTGACAGCAGCCAGACCAACACTATTACAGAAGCCATGGCGATCCACGCCGTATGTGAGCTGCCACACCCTGCGGTGAAGCCCTCTTCCTTCCTCTCCAAGATCAAGGTCATCCAAAATGACCCACTGACTCGCTATCCTGGAAATATTAAAATGCCACTTTGGTAGATTTCCCAAAGTATTAACTCATGCCTTGAGTTGAGAACAGACTGGTAGAAAAAAAGACAAGAACAGCGAAGAAAGTCAAAGTCCCTAGTCAATCTTTCAGAGCTATTTTCACCAGAGCAACCGCACCCATTCCCCTCTCTTAACTACTACGTCCATGCTGATGACACCCACGTCTGCATGTCAGCACCCACATCTGCCTGTCTCCCCTAAGCTCCCGACCCATAACTCCAACCCCGTAGTGAACACCTTCAGCTGAATGCCTTCCGGGCAACTCGAGACAGGTGTACATTTGACCCTGTATTACCTTCTCCCAGAACTTGACCTTCTCCTCTTCCCCCTTTCTCATCTGCCTTCTCATCCAAACTAGAAATCGAGGAGCTGACTTTGACTTTTCCCTGCGCTACACTGTCACATGGAGCCCATCGCAAGCGCTAGCGCGTGACTTGGCCTCTCTGCCCTGGTGTTACTGGGTTTCCATCATCGCTCACTTAAACTGGTCTGTGTCCACCAGTCCCGGCCTCCTCAAACCCATCCGGTACACCAGCGGTCCCCAACCTTCTTGGCACCAGGGACCGATGCCCCCATGAGACTCTCACGCCTGATGATCTGAGGTGGCGCCGATGCTGGCTCTGGGAGCGGCTGTGAATACAGATGAAGCTTCGCTCCCCCACCTGCCGCTCCCCTGCTGCTGAGCGGCCTGGTTCTTAACAGGCCACAGACCCGTACAGGTCCACGGCCCGGGGGTTGGGGACCCCTGCTGTACGCTGCCGTTGGAGTCATCTTTCTCTAATTCAGATTGGATTGTGTCTCTTCTTAAAATCCTTCACAGCTTTCAGCACGCCGTCTGCCTACCTCTCCAGCCCTAGCCCTTCCGCTCCATCTTGTGATCCCTTTGCCCTCTATGCGGGGCAGGAACGAACTACTTGTAACTCTAGAGATAGGCCCAGTGAGCTCTGTGCACCCACGCCTTTGCATGTGCTGCGTCCTACAATTACCCACGGCCTCGTCTCCGATTTCTGCTCCTTGACCTGCCTGATGAACTCCTTCCTCTACGTCATCTAAAGTCCCGGAGGTTATCCTGCCCAGCCTACACGAATTCAATCCCTTCCTTTCCTGTATTACTTCCTATGTCATAACACTTCTTACTTCCTTTCTTTTATTACTATGCATGTATGCAAGACACAGAAGAAACACATCAGAACCCTTACACATTATTACAAATACTTACACATCTGCCACCTTCCCCAGGATTGTGACCCATTAAAGGCTCAGACCATTTTTCATTCAGTTTTATAACCCTGGCACACTGTACACTCAGTAAGTATTGCCTATTCTTGAAGATTCTAAAATTTATTTAACTACAAAAAAAAGAGAGAGAGAGAGAGCCACTACACCCAAATTTGTTTTTTATCCCACAAAAACAACATAAATTGATAATATCAACATAGTTATATCTTTGCCAGATGATCAACCTGTACGTCTGTGTAAGTATCTTCAGAAATCCAAAAATCTTCACTCAGAAAAAAATTTCAAAAACTACTTGTATAGCTCAAAACGCCACAGCTGCTTGGTCCTGACAGATGCTTTCCGTGGGGGAGTCACAGAAGGGTCATCACCAGCCACTGGGCTGCTGTGACGGCCGTAGCCTGACTGCTGATGTATAGACACACGTGCTTTCAGGTACGTGTCCTCTCTGCTCCCCCGGTCACTTCATACCCCTGCACCGGTGCCCGGCACTGTTCCTGACCAACAGACCTGCCATCTGGTTCTGACAACAAAGGTGAGGTTGACGGGGAGCCTGCGCTCGTGAAAAGAGTGGGAACCAGGAGCTATGACCCCTGACGGGCTGTGACAAAAAGTAGAGAAGGAGAAGTCCCCGTCCTGACTGAGCTCTCCTACAAACGCAAAGTATCTCGAGGAGGAAGGCCTGAGTGACTCCAGGGCCTACTGTGGATTAGACCCTGACTGAGGCACTCGATATAAATCATCCAATTCTGTCCTCCCCAAAACTCTGTGACATAGGCTCGCTGGTGTCTCCATTTTACAGGGAAGAGAACTAACTAGGAATAATTTGCCCAAGAACACACAGTGACAAGTGGCAGAGCCAGCATCTGTTCCTAGGTGACAAGCCCATATTCTCACTTAGGATTCTGCACTGCAAGTGTTCTGGATGGCACAACTGAAAGAAGAAACTTAACAACTGGTACTTGAAAGTTTCTATGTCCCTCCCACTGATCTGCAAACCACCGCGCAATATAAGAAATGTTAGTTGAGCAGCTTTGCGGAGGAGGCAGGACGGGCCGTGAACACTCATGCTCGGGGGGCCAGGCGGCCTCGAGTGACCCAGGCGCTGCCTCGTACGAGCCTTTGCTCGGTCACTGGATTCTGACCGAGAACTTTAGTTTCTGCATCTGTGAAATAAAGAGCATAGCACTCTCTACTTTATGGGGTGAATATGGAGATCAAATGATATAATGCCTGCAAAACTCTTAATAAAGATTTAAGAACCACCAACGCTGGCACATTAACAGCAGTAAAAGCTAAAAAAGAAACAGGAGAAAAGCTACAGAAACAGAAGTGGTACTTACGGAAGCCAGCAGCCGTCCATCCTCCTTCATGGCGAGATAGCGGTTCGCACACACTCCCTTGATGGACACGACCCCTCTCTCCTCTGCTTGCAGTTGTAGTTTGACTAGAAGTAACGAGGGAAAAAATGACCTTTGTAGCATCATAGAAAAAGGAGCCAGATACACATTTATGCAACGTAAACACAAGAGACGCCTGAGCAACCAGGTGATCCACTCTGGGCAACGGCGCCCCGTGGGTCGGGTGGACAGGGGACAGGCGATGGATGTCAATGACATGCCATCAGGACGCGATGCAGATCCACGAGAGAGCACGAGAGTCCCTCGACGCCCTTCTCACTCCATGCAGCGGGCAGAGGAGTGACAGAATGGGGAACGCGTTTTCCTTTTACGTACAATTAGCTTCCACTCGGCCCTGTTAACTGCTCAAGTTAAAAAAAAAGTTTTACAGGGAAGGGAACTGACTATTTTAAGAGTACATAAAAATGTAAACAACTTGTGAGAATTTCCATGCCACTGCCTAAGTTTAAACTTTAAAAGTTATTTTTAACCAATTCTTCATAAGGAGAAGAGAATCGAATTGCTCAGTGTCATCTCCTGGTTTGTATTTCCTGGAGTTCCAACGCATCTTCCTTCTGCTCTTCCCTTCAATACAATACCAATGCATTTATCTTTCTTTATCGAGAAATCTATTTTTTTGCAAATTTATCTACCTAGTGGAAAAACAGAATGCTTATACAGTGTGACAAAAGATTCAGAACGTAAGACTTTGAAGAGGGCGGATAACCTGAACTACCACGTTATCATGATTAAGCAGAATGGAGGAAAACAAAAAACAGATATTACATGGTTATAATGATAATGCCACACGGACAGATAACCATTTAATTAATTCAAATAAAAACGAAGTTAAAAATTTCCATTTTGTTCTTCTTGCAAAATTTCTAATTTGCATTCTCCTGCCCAAAATGTACTTTAACAAATACGGGTTACCTAAAAAAAAAATAGGTTCTAGGGCTAAATAAGTTACGAAACAACTCTGTTGTTTACAAGAAAAGTACTTTAAATACAAACACACGAGCAAATTGAAAGTAAAAATGTAGGAAAAAATAAATAAAACGCATACCCTGAGTATAATATGCTGGCATGGCTATATTAATATCAACTAATGTGGACGTCGAGGCAAATGGCCTAACTACAGACGAACAGGGTCCCATTAAGACGACATAACCTTAAATGTGTAGCACCTAATAAGAGAACTTTAAAATATCTGACGCAAAAATTGACAAAATAAACCAGTAAGAATATGGAGTATGTGAATAACATTATCAACCCACCCGACTGAGCATTTTTTTTTTTAGATCATGTAGATTTCATTCACCTGAGGCTTTATCCTCCTCCTAACATCACAGTCATTTGAAAGCTATGCTAAAAAAACTGCCTCTGCCACCATGGTGAGCCAGCCAGTGCTTCCTGGCCTAGTGGACTTGAACTGTTCGAATCGATCCACTCCAGGTGAGGAGGTCTTTTCCCAAAGTCACCATAATGTTAAGGAATATGAAGGGCTCTTCCCCTGAACTGTTGGTCCCCACGGTTCGTTTTGTTGGTTTTTTTTTAACAGTCTGCGATATAATCCACACAGGATGCGATTCAGTGTCCTTTAGTATGTTCGCAGAGTTGTCCAACCATCACGATTAATTTTAGAGCATTTCCGTCAGCCCATACCCTTTAGCACTCACCTCCCGCGACCCTAACGCCACCAACCCTAGGCCCAGGCTACCGCTAATCTACTTCCTGTCTCTACAGATTTCCTTATGCTGGATGCTTCACATAAACAGGATCAGACGCTCCGTGGTCCCTTGTGACTGGCTTCTTTCTTTTAGCATAACGTCTTCCAGGTTCATCCATGTTGTGCATGTAGCAGTACTTCATTTTTTATTAGCAAATAATATTTCATTGAGCGGGCAGACCGCATTTGATGTACTCATCCATTAGTGAATGGACCTTGTGTTTGTTTCCAATTTTGGGCTACTACAAACAATGCTTCTATGCACATTTGCGTACAATATTTTGTACAGACACGTTCTCTTGGGTATATACCGAGAAGTCGAGAAGTCAAATTACTGGGTCGTGTGGTAACTCTCTGTTTCATCATTTGAGGAGCTGTCAGACTATTTTCCAAAGCAACCACTTTACATTCCCATTAGAAACTGAGGATTCCAATTTCTCCACATCCGGGCCACACCTGTTATAGCCTGTGTTTTGTTATTTTAAAATTATAACCATCCTAATTGTGTGTGAAGTAATATCTTGAAGTTCTGATTTGTATTTTTCTGATGCGTAATGACGTTGAGCATCTTCTCATGTGCGCATGGGATATTTATATATCTTCTTTAGAAAATGTCCATTCACATCAGGTTGTTTTTTTACCATTGAGTTGTAAGAGTTCATTATATATTCTAGATACAAATTCCAGATATCTGACTTATGAATATTTTCTCCCATTTTGTGGGCTGTCTTTTTACTTTCTTGATGTTTTCCTTTGAAGCATAAATATTTTTAATTTTCATGAAACCCAATTTATCCATTTTATTCTTTCATTGTTTGTGCTTTTAGTGACGTATCTAAGAAACCATTGCCTAAACCAAGAACGTGAAGGTTTACATCTGTGCTTTTCTCTTAAGAGTTTTTAGTTTTACCTCATTCGTTTAGGTCTTGATCCATTTTGAGTTAATTTTTGTATGTAGTATGAGGGTCAAACTTCATTCTTATGCATCTGAATATTTGATAATATTCAAATGAGTATTGATAAGGTCTCTACACCCAACATCTGCATTCTTTTCAAGGAATATTTCCAAGAATAAATTATTGCAGGGCATAAAATAAGCTGCAATACATTTAAAAGGGTTGAAATTATACAGAGTATATTAGAAACTAGTAACAATAAGATCTAAAAAAATCTCTCAAATATTTGGAGTTTAAGCAATACATTTCTAAATAAAACACAGATAAAAGAAAACTTAAGGGGAATTAGATAATATCTCTAAGTATGTGATAATAAAAACAACATGCTTAAAGGAAAAGTTATAGCTTTAAGTGTACTAGAAAAGCAAAAAATTATAAAAATCTACACTTCTACCTTAAGAACTAGAAAAAGTGCAAATTAAGCCCAAATAGCAGAGAGAATACTTACTATGTAAAAATCATACACTTGAATATATACAGATTAGTAGAAAATAATCTCAAAGAGTTAACAATGATTTTGAGGTGATGAAATAAAAATAATATTTTTTGTTACTTAAAAATTTTTCTTGGTTGAGCATATGTGACTTCTATAATAAGAACATAGTGTTAACACTGTCGGAATTTTAAAATAATCCAGAACAAAATGCCAGTGTGTGCCATATTAAACATGACTATGAAAACAACTCACTTTCATGAGTTTCCGGAGGGAGAGAAAAATTTTCAATCGAAGGAGACATAAGAGACATGTCAACCAAAAGCACTGCGTGAACCATGTTTGAGTCTCGATTAAAGCAAAACAACAGTAGAGAGCGTGAGGCCACAGGGGACACTTTAACATTCCTGGCACATTTTACGCTTTTAAGACAGCTTTTAAAAGTTTTAGGCATGAGAATGGAACGGTACTTGTTTTTTTAAGTCCTTATCCTTTAGAGATACATATGAAGCATCTACATAGCTAATATGCACTAATACATACATATCACTCACGTCACGACTTGTGTAACCATCTTTAAATAACGAAGGGATGACAGAACGTCTATCCCACTGTGGGGCAGCGGGGGGGCGGGGGAGCAGGTGGAGATGCAGATGAACTGAGACCAGTCACGTGGTAACCACTGAAGCTGGGGGATGGGCACATGAGCGCCACCGTGCGGGTCCTTCTATCTTTGTGTATATGTTTAAAACTCTCTAATAAAAAGACCTTCGGGTTATAAAAGAACAGAGAGAAGCCAAAGGCAGTTCAGTGGGCAGTTAGTGTTAAGTGAATTGAAGGGTATCGTCTTAGACCACCCGCTGCTCTAAAAGAAACACCCAAGGCTGGACGACTTGGGGAACAAACACTGATTTCACGCGGTTCTGGGCCGAGGAGTCCGACGCCAGTGCGCTGCTAGGTTGGGGGGCTGCTGCGTGCTTTGCCTCCTCCCCGTGGCCTCATGCGGAGAAGGGGCCGGGAGCTCTGTGGGCTTCTTTAATGAAGACACAGATCCCACTCGCAAGGGCTCCATCCTCCTGACCTCCCAAGGCCCCGCCTGCTAACACCATCATATTGGGGGTTAGAATTTCAACATATAAATTTGGGGGAGGTGGGGACAGAAACTCTCAGTCCTTAACAGCTAGAATCCCTGAGATACTGTGCGGGTCTGTATAATGTGTAACCTCAGCTGCTACTCAAGGTTTCTGGGCTGTCCGGGGAAATTAAATCCAGTTACATTCGAGTCAGCCTTTCAGTTGTCGCTGTCCCATGTTGGGTTGGCTTCACGGGGAAGAAAGAAATCATAAAAAAAAAAATCATCCTTGAGATTTAGAAGATTCTTACCAAGCAAAGCCACTGGATCTTACGACACGGTAAAGGCAATAAGCCAAAGACACAGTTCATTTGCTGGGGGAGAAGGGGAAGAGGGTTTTCTTAAGGGAGGAGTTTTAAATATCAAGTCCTACAAGACAGGCAGTGAAAGAAATTATATTACATTTCCACATAATAAGTACATTGTAAAATTTTCCACACTTTTCCGGAAATTAAACAATATAATGAACAGACAAGCTAGCAAAAATTTGTTCTGAAAAATGGAGGATGGCGTAATCCACAATTCTTCCGAACCATTAAAAAAAAAAAAAAAAATCCATTCCCTTCTCTGTCCAACTAGGGAATCTATTATCCTCAGCCAGTGTCTGGAAATAGCAAAGTATGCGTTCATATTTTTATACTTGGATAAATGTTACAACCTGGTTTTCTCCTTATGTAAAAACTAGTCCCTGCTTTAATACTTCAGTCCAGCTTTTTGGTTATACACTTGAAAAGTGTCTGTCACAGCGGTCAAAAAGAGATTTTATCCAGGATAATAATATGAAGCCTGCCACCTAA